CAAAATTATTAAACAAAATAGAGTTCATAACTGAAAAATAACAAAGAGAGTCTGAAGTAGCCAGATGACTTAGATTAAGTAAGTAGATAAGTAAATAAAACATTTAAATGATCTACAAATATATAAACATTATATATATACATATATACATACATATACATATATATACATAATGTTTGTGTAATAAATCATTACTTTGAAACTTTTAAAATGGGAAATTAAAAAGAGGGAAGATTCTTCAAATTAGTACATACAGCAATGCAATTATGTTGCAGTGTTTTTAGTAGTGATGTTGAATTTTCTCCATTTGAGAATGATGACACAGTAAAACAAAGGAATCGTGGATCTCTGACAACCTCAGTGATTCTAATACACAGCTTAAATCCTTTGCTCTTGGAGTTAGTGTGTAAAGATACTGGGAGGGAGGAGCTCGGAGCTGAAGATAATATCAAATAGTTTCTTAAATGCTTACAAAGATCCATAGCTTATAAAGTTTCATCCTGTGTGGTATTCAGATCAAGCATGCCTCCCAGAATTGCTGAGAGGTAGCCACACTGTATCATGTTTTTCAAATGAAGTGTGAAAGTAGAATTATTAAATATGCCTGATTACATACAACATTAGCAGAGCCTGATTTCTGTGTTTGTAATTTCATAATGACTCTTTGTCCAACATACCAACCTACTGTATACAATTGCTCTAATGGTCCAATACCAAAGTCAAATTGGCATTAGCTCTGATCATCCACTCAAAGATAAGTCTTTGAGAGACTGGCCCTTTGCTTATTCTTTTGGGGCACTAGATTGTGATGGTCATTTTGTGAGTAAGTCATACGTCTAAACTAGAAACCTGCATGGGAGGAAATTCAGGTTTGGGAAACTTTTCTTGGTGAATTTGTGTCAATCTTGTTCCAATAAAGCAGAAGTACAGGATGATGATAGCATCACTAACAACATTGATGTTTGTTTACTAACACTTGTCAGTGTATAATACTGCTTACTAAAGTATGTAGTTTCTAATCATATTAGGATCAAATATTAATTATAATGTTTTTAATGAGAAGCTCTCATTTGTATTTATAGTTTGTGTATTTATTTATCAGCATTCCCTGACAATTTTCTTATGTTCCTTCATATAAAATGGGTAAAATAATATCACCTATGTTATAAGGATGGAAATTAAATAAGCTCCAAGAGGAAGAACTCAAATGTAAGGATGTAGCAGAGGAACAATAGAATGTTTGATATTTCCATTATTTCCATCATTTAGTCTGATGAAAACATAATGCCTACCATACAGAGTTAGTTTCAAGATCTGAATGAAGCAACTTCTGTGAGGCAACAATGGAAAAGGACATGACAAGCGAAGGACATATCAAGATGTCTTCCTAAGGGAAGTGTCAAGTTGGGATCTGATAGAATGAAATAGTTTCAGTGATTGTCACGAATTTTTGATTTATAAAGTAAGGGGTCCTTTAACTCACTCATTCATTTTGCAGTTATGTTTGAGAATAAATTATGTTTGAAAATAAACTGAATATGTTTCAGAATAAAGTAGCTAAGTGAATGGAATCTGGAATAAGGATTTCTGTGTTTGAATTTTTATTCCATGTTCCTCCCTTATTCAAGCTGTGTGAAATTCTAAAGGCTACTCGAGTTCTTTTGAGATTATTTATAATTTTTAATTTATTAATAAAGTTTATAAATTAATAAATCTCTAATAATGTTTATTGTAATATCTATGCTAGTCACCAAATTGATTGAAATTTGAGAAATTATAGTTTTCTCATTTGCTACATGAAAAAATAGTTAAGATAATAAATTTATACCATACAGCTGCTGTGAAGATTACATTAGTTCATACTAAAACAGTTTGGATAATTTATTCAATATATATTCAAATAATATTGTTAGTATTCAAAAATATTAGTTGATGTTATACTTGGCCAATGGTCTTGGATTTGGAGATAAAATAACAAAACATATGCGTAGGGTTAGAGAGGTTTAAACTGTGATATGAAATATAATAATAATGTGTCCTTAAGTTGATGAAAGAACTTTAAGACAGGTAAGAGAGTGGGGACAGAAAGCAACAAACATCTACTAGATGCGCTGATCATGTCATCAAGCTGTAAGGCTGGAGCACTGGATGAGAAGCTCAGGATGAGTAGGGCTGGTTTATGATGGCACTTGGACTGAGAAGTTGAGAAGTCGTGATGTTTTTGGTGTAGATTCAAATGAGTGATGGCGAGAAAGAGTACCCAAGAGGCATATGAGAACTTTTCAGAAAACATTGCAGAGTCAAGAATCCAATGAATTACATGGATTACACATGGAAATCTAAGAAATAACAGAAATGTATTACCCACCTATATTAATAAAAACAAATATTTTAAAGTAGACTGGCACTTAATTTAAGGAGCTGTAAGCAATTTCATTTATTTGTTTAGGTTGTATATCTGACCATGTTCTCCATGAAACTAGGGCATTTGTCAAAGTTGGATAAACTATATATTTCAAATGTCAACCATAGCACTAGGCATATAGTGGATGTTTAGTACATATTGACTGACTAAATGAATGGGTATCATGAATTTTCTTGAACTTAAGAAGAATAGAATGGCCATTTTAACTATGTTAATCCTACCAATCCATGAGCCTGGGAGATCACTCCATTTTCTGAGGTCTTTGATTTTTTTCTTGAGAGACTTGAAGTTCTTGTCATATAGATCTTTCACTTGTTTGGTTAGAGCTACCCCTAGATATTTTATATTATTTGTGACTATTGTGAAGGTTGTTTCCCTGTTTTCTTTCTCAGCCTGTTTATCATTTGTATAAAGGAAGGCTACTGATTTGTTTGAGTTAATTTTATATCCAGGCACTTTGCTGAAGCTGTTTATCACCTGTAGAAGTTCTCTGGTAGAATTTTGGTGTAGCTTATGTATACTATCATATCACCCACGAATAGTGATAACTTGACTTTTTCTTTGCCACTTGGGAGGGAGAAGAAATCAGTCATGGGAGGCAGACTGAAGGGAGGTACTTGAGTGGTAGAGGGGACAGGGAGCAGAAAAGGGGAACATGGACAGGTATGGGGGGGAGCAGGAGAAAAGCCCTGAGGGCCAGCGGAATGAACAGAAATATGTAACCTTGAGGAGTGAGAGGTGGGGGGACCTTCTAGCAAGTACAAGAGACCCGGGAGATGAAAGACTCTCAGGACTCAAAGGGAAGGACCATAGATGAAATGTTCTACAGTGGGGAGAAGGAACTTGTAGAATCTACCTCCAGTAGAAAGACAGGAAATCAAGTGGAGGGATGGGGTTGCCATCCCACAGTCAAAAACTCTGACCTAGAATTCTTCCTGTCTAAAAGACTTGCAGGGACACAAATGGAGAAGAGACTCAGGGAAAGGCAGTCCTGTGACAGGCCCAACTTGGGATCTGTCTCAAGGTGAGGCTGGAAGGCCTGACACTATTACTGATGCTATGGTGTGCTTACAGACAAGAGCCTACCATGGCTGTCCTCCAAGAGGTCCAACAAGCAGCTGCCTGAGACAGATGAAGATATTTACACTCAACCAATGGTCTAAAGTTGGGATACCTGTGGTTAAATTAGGGAAAATCTGGAAGAAGCTGAGGAGGAGGGTAACCCCATAGGAAGACCAGTTGTCTCAGCTAACCTGGACCCCTGAGATCTCTCAGACACTGACCCACCAACCAGGCAGCATACAGGAGCTGGTCCCAGGCCCCTGACACATGCACAGCAGAGGACTGACTGGTTTGGTCTCAGTGGGAGGAGACATGCCTAACCCTCAAGAGACTTGAGGCCACAGGGCATGGCGAGGTCTAGTAGGGGGGCAACCTCTTGAAGACAGGGTGGGAGGATGAACTGTGGGATGGCTGGCTGGGAGAGGGTAATGACCAGACTGTAAAAAGTAGAAGTAATTAAAAAAAATAATAGGAGAGCTGCTTTCTGAGGCTGGGTTTGGTCTAGTAGAGTTTCTGAACAAAGGCTTGAAGAAGCCTAATGCTGCTTCAGGAGGATTATCTTCCAGGAGAGATAGAAAGTACAAGCACGGGAGAGGAAGGTAAGGTATTACAGTAGAACAGAGATAGTAGGCAGTGGAAGTGGGGGAAATATCAGGGAGAAAGGTAAAAGGCAGGTGTGGGGACATTATATCGGACCATTATGCACAGCAAAATTGAAGAGATGACCTAAATGCAAACATTTCTTTTAACACTTGACATTCACAAGTCCTTTTCTTATAGCCTGTTTCTTCCTCCAGTGCCTTCTACAGTTGATTAAATACAGGACAGAAAGTGGAATATTTCAGCCTGGAATTTTTCTGAATTGAAGCTCTTGTCATAGGATGAGAGCTCCCGTTTGCTATTAAAAGGCTCTTGCTCACGCTTCCTACCAGTAAGATAACTTTTACCTCAGCCTTTTGGAGATTTGCTTTGTCCTTCATAACATAACTTGAAAATGAGCAGTGATCTAATCATTTATGTCTGTGATAATGTGCTCATTTTATTTATACTCCACAGGCAATTAAAATCTCTTTATACAACACTGTCCTGGTGACAGATGTGTGGCTGACAACCTGATATGTGATGGGTGACATAAATCATCTGAAGATCAGTGTGTTCTTATGTGAATGTCTTTAGTTCCAGCAGATGCCACACCGGCAGAGTAACAGGGACATTCTTTTACAAGATCCCCAATTTAGTAAGAACCTTGCTTTAATATAGCTCTGAAATCTTGACAGATGTGCTAGTTAGTGACAGTTTGGAGATTCTTCATACAGTCTTTGTAAGACAACAAGGGTCATCCCATCCTTTTGTGCCACACAAGTTTTAGTGGCTTTCCAACAGGGTACACAATAGCCGTATCACCTGAACTCCATCAGTCCCTTTGGACTTGGCACCAAGGACACATTTCTTCTGCCCCCTTCGAAACTACTAAGCATGATAACCTTTACACACACTATGTGATTTGCTGCTCCTAAACATGATGATTTCTTTTTTCTTTTTTGGCCATGACTTTGAATATAAGATTCCCTAAAAAACAAACAAACAAACAAACAAATAAACAGTTTTCATTTTATGTTCTCTATGTAGTAGAATTTGGAGCATTATTTTGTATGCAGGTGGCTCAAATTTTCACATAGCATGTTGAAAAAATGTCTTCCATCTTGCAAACTGTTTTAATATCCAGATTGTTACATATTATTTTCATTAGCTCTGAAGGAAGCACTGAGAAATAAAATTAAACAGAATTTTAACATATTCATATGCTTATGGCCATTTAGATTTCTCTTGAGAATGATTTAATGCTTTTAAAAGTTGTGGTTTGAGAATGTAATCACTATGAATTTCTATCTTGTTATGTATTAAAATTTACAGCTATGAATTATTTAGTGAGACTGTTAAGAACTGAACACAAGTCTTATATGTGCTAAGCAAGCATTATACCACTAAGTTAAATCCTCAATCCTTACCTTGCAATTTTAATACTTTTCCCACATTGTTTTATTTTTTTTACACTTGTTTGAATAATAATATTAAATATATGCAAAATATGATTTGGACACAATTTATTGCTCACTTTCCTAGCAAGTAACACCTCTCTTTTCATTTTTTCATAGTTCTGATGGGTTTCCATCAAAGTTATCATTTTGAATGATATAAAATTGTTAGCTATGACTTCTTTGGGTTATCTTTGTTTTTGTTACTTTTTCTACCTCTAATTTTATACATCACATTCCCCCAAAACATCTTCTACAGCTATGATCTTCTAGGTCTTGTTTACTTGAGCTAACCTTGTAGGTCTTGCCTTTTTGTTTCTTTTTACAGTATGGTAGTTTAACCCTTGTGAAAACTAGACATATACTCTACCACTGACATATATCAATAGTCCCTTTTTAATTTAAATTTTTTATTTTACTTTGAGAGACAGGCTCACTAATTTTCCTAGACTGGCTTGAAACTCTCTATATAGTGCAGAAGGGACTTGAATTACCTTTATCCTCCTGTGTATGATATTATAAACATGTACCACCATGCCTGGCATGAGGCTCAGACTATCTATATTACTTTTATTGATGTTAAATTTAAGCTGTTTTATAAAGTAGTATGTGAAAATTTCAATTATAATTTTGATAATCTCAGTTAAACCATTAAAAATGAATTCATCATTTTGTCTTTCCCCTTTACTTGAGGCACTGATATGATACTTTCAAGAGAATGTGTTTGTTGCCTCTGAAGCCTTTTGAGAAACTCCTTATCTTCATGTTCAGGCTCACTAACTTACTTTCTGTGTGATTCATCCCCATTTACATTCAGTCTACTGAACTTATTTTCATAATTAATTTTCTTGATGCTCTTTGCTCTCATTAATATTTCCTAATATTTTTATTTAAAAATATTTATTCTTCTCTCATATAATAACATCTCGACCACAACTTCCCCTCCTTCCCCTCCTTCCATTCCCCTTACCTCTCTTTTCTCCAAGTTCTACTCCTCTTTCTCTCTCAGAAAATATCAGGCCTCCCAGGAACATCAACTGTACATGGCAAAACAAGATGCAATAAGCAAGCACATGACCCTCACATCAATGCTGGGAAAGGCAATCTAGTAGGAGGACAAAGTTCCCAAGATCAAGCAAACAAACAAATAAACAAACAAACAAAACAAAGACCAAAACCAAACCAAACCTGGTTGTTATGCATGTTTTGAATCATTTTGATTTGTTCACTAAGATGGCATCAAGTGTTTCAGGCTTTTTAGCTGGTTGCTGAACTCTTGGTTAAGTTCATATTGTCTGAGTGGTTTTGAGGTCTCTCTTGGCAAGTGAGTGCTTCCCTTGAGGCTTCAGCTAGCTGATAATTAGTATCTACATTCAAAGAGGAATGTAATCTCGTAGCATATAATCCTCCTTTGCTCCTGTCTGACATTTCTCATCCTGCCTTCCAAAGGGCCCATTACACACTCATACTGTATACGTTGGAATTCTTCCTATGTAAGTACTCATAGCTGCTTCCATTGAGGTAGTTTCAAAGCTTTTTAAATCAAGAATTGAACATCCTGGTTTCCATATGAAGTTGCTAAGGCCCAGTTTACAGATGAGGCAACAGAATGATCAAGAGATCTTCTCAAGGACACTGGGTAGGCAGAACTAGAAGCCACATTTCCACTTCTCTAGGTCCATATGAATCTGTGGGTGAATTGGAGGAGCCCGCATGGAGATAAGATATTATAAAAATGATGACGTACAAGTAACGGTTTGGGTGCTATCACTGTGCTTCTAAGAGAAATGCCTGCAGAGAGAAGGTAGTATCTATGTAGAAGTCACCACAATACAGGAAGAGGAAAGAACAACTGTTCCTCCTGGCTCAAATTGATTAACGACTGCTCCTTTTCAATAGACAGAGGACATGACAAGCTTTTAGGATATTCAGGTAAAGCTTCTATCCTGACATTTATTTCTTCTCCTGTTTTAGGACCAGCTTTTTCATTGCAGTCTAAAGTGATCAGACATTCAGTGTCACAAAATCTGACAAATGAACACAGTACTTCAAAGGGTATTTAATTCAAGAATGAAGGAAGTAATTCTTCAGGTGCAAATCTGATCAAATTGTAAAGGAAAATCATGTCATTAGAAACATGTAGGACTATACAGTGGGCTTTGGGAGCACTAAAATGTTTTGAGCATTCTGTGTGTGAAAATGATAATTAAACCATGGGGGTTAGGTTGAATGATCACAGATGTAATGACAGGCCACCACAGAGGAATTTAAAAATTAATTTAGAGACTAATCTATGGTCCCTGCTGAGGCCATTTATTTTCTGTGACCGTCCTTGTTCTTCCCTTGCTGATAAAGTTTAAAGCCCAATGTTTAAAAAAAATACCTGCTTTTCAATTTCTAAAAATTATAGTAGGCAACCCTGTGGTCAAGCATTGATCAACCATTTGGCACGTTTCCTATCCATTTCATGCACTGTCCCTGGAAAATATCTAGCTTTGACTTACTTCAGGGAAATTCTCTCAGAGTTTATACCAAAAAGCCATATCTCACCATCAGTGTCATTTAGGATTCTGTCATAGCCATCTATCAAGAGATTCTCAATTAATTTTGTTGAAGCTAAAAGTCACTTATAATTACAACCCTCTTATCGGAATATGTCTTCCTTATCTTTTACTATCCTGTGCTTCATTGTTGGCTCTGCTACCACGGGTGCCATTATTTATTTTATTGGTGAGCCTTGGTTCTGTACCTCCTAGCTCAAAATGATTAATGACTGCTCCTCTTCAATAAACAAAGTACATGACTGGCTTTTAGATTTCTCAGGTACAGCTTCTATGCTGACATTTTTTTTCTTCTTCCAGTGTCTCAGGAACTGCTCCTTCAGAGCAGTCTGAAGTAATCAGACTTTTCAGTGTGGCGAAAGCTGATAAATGATGGTTCTTATTTGTTGCTAATCAACAGGTCTAGGGAAGCCCCTAGTTCTGGGAACCGTTTTCTTAGTTATAATGTGTTATTTTTAGGCTGTAGTCATAGTAGGAAATATGTAGCTGTTACATTTCTACAATTCAGTTGTTGTCTTGTTAATGAGCACAGGTTAGGCACTTAGTTCCTCCAGAAAATGATGAGATGAACAAAGTTAGTATGATGTTGAATTCTTCCTATTTAAAAATGGTAACATCAGATCTATTTCATTTGGATGCTTTTATAATTCATGATGCAATGGATATAAAGCACGATGCAGATGTTCTGATTCATGATATGTGGTCAATAATGATGACTTCCTTTTAGTTCAATAAATTCATGTTCTGGACTGTTTTACATGCTATTTTTATATTAATCATCATGGGATATAAGAGTAAGTAATTCTATTTAGAAGAGATACATGTTTAGGGAGAGACAAACACATAAGCAAATAAGTACTGATCTCTGTGACATATACAAAAGAATAGATAGATAAATATACATAGATAAATCCAATGGTGGCTTAGCAGAACTAGTCATTAGTCCTGTCTGGAGTAGTTCTTGTTGAATGGGTGATAGGAGATCTGAGCTTTAACTGACATGGAGGAAGTCACCAGATTATCAGACTAAGAAAGGTGAGATTTATTTGGTGAGTTGGAGAGGTGACCACAGGGAGCATAAATCTGAGGTAAAGGAATTACCTTTATGGTGTACACCCATTAGTTTTCTTCCATGTTTTATTTTACACCATAATAACATTCTTTTTCAAAAACCCGAATTTTGGTTATTCCCCCTTTTAATGATTGAATATCAAGAATGAGCTTAAGATAAAAATGTTTTAATCAGTTTAACCAGGATAGACGAGAAAGTACTTTTCTTTCTCTGATTAATTCAAAGTGTTTAGTTACTAATAGTAGCAAAGAATCATCAAAGAATTTTTTTAGATATATCATTTCATAGATTGTCCACAAATTCTTATGTGGCAAGAATTTTTAATTTTGTTTTTCTAAAAATAAGGAAAATGAAGTTATACAGCTTCAAATTATTCAAAGGGTTATCTCCAAGATTAGGAGTTGACAGTCATTTGGAATTTGTGAACCCAGCCTCTGCCACCAAGTTTTCTCCCTATATGTGGGGCTGTGGGCTATGAGAAAAGGCCAGAAAGCTTGGTAGAAAGCTCTGGAAGTCCTGGAAACCTTGGTCTGAAGAAGGCCAGTAGGACAGGAGGCTGCTTCGAACTTTCCCAAAGCCTCTCTTAAAGTCTTAAAACTTTCCCAAAGTCTCTCTTAGCTTCCGCTCCCCACAGCCCCTCCCACGGAGAGGTCTGTGGCCTTTGATCACGTAGGAATAGCACTTTCATGCAAATAAGGCATTCCCAAGCTCTCAATTCAAGCCAATAGGGGTTACCTGCTCTTCCCCAAAAAACTGTATGTATTGCCCAAAGCTCAAAAGTAAAGTGGATCTTTCCGGCTGTCAGAGACTTTTATCGAGGTTCCTCCCCGTTGTGGGCTAGCCTGCACATTTCAAAGAGCTGTAACACTTTTCCCTCTCTGCCGCTGCCCTGCCGAGGTACTCCCGGGCTGCCCACATGGAGAGGGAGCAAAAAGAGCTGTGATACTCACCCGCCTTTGGAGGCTGGAGCAGAAGCGGACCCTCCAGTCTGCTCCCCGCCCAGCCATTCGAGGCTGGTTCGAGAGGTTACATAGGCCCTGCCATGAGCAACTGAACAGTGCGCTGCCCTCCAGCTTGTGGCCGTGACCCCACCTGCGCGCCCCACTTGAGCCTTGACCCACATTCTTGGCTCGCCGGTGGTCTGTGCTGCTGAGTCCCGCCTGGAAGTGGCATGCCCCCGCCCATTCCTGCCCGAGCCCTGCACCGCTGCAGCCTCGGTTTCCTGGACTGCCTCGGAGCCTGCGCCCGTGACCTGAGCACGAGATCGGACCCACACCTATAAACAAAGTGATTGAAAGCTAACTTATATTTGACAAACTATGATTTGTTGTGCAATCCTAGTGAAAGTTCTTTAAACCACTGGAAAGCTAATTAAAAAAAAGACAGACTAGATCATAACTGAAGACATTGGCTTAGAAACAAGCAGATAGACTCAAAGCAGTGTACCATATCATCGTAAGAATAGCAGGGAGACCATAACTCAAGCAGTGTACCATATCTTCTGAAGAACAGCAGGTAGATCATAATTCAAGGCAGTGTACCGTATAGACCATGACATGTTTCAAGGCACAGGCCAAGAAGATTTTGTACTTTTCCACCACCTGGCCCCTCTTACCCCCTCCCCTTGTAAAACATGCTATAAAAAAGCATTTCATGTTCAATAAATAAATAAATAAATAAATAAATAAAATAGGATAGGGTCACTACATAATTTGCCATCAGAACAAGGTAACTTTCAGAAACAGAACACTATTGTGCTTAATGCTCAGGGAACATTGTGGAAAAGAAGGGAGAAATATTGAAAGAGACAGGGAGTTTTCCATGAGACTACATCTCCTACTAATGTGAGAAGCTACACTCATGAAGTCTTACCAACATGACTGCGCTAAAGTGAGCTATACTTAATAGCCTTAGTTGGTGTATCAAGTGCCTAAAGCTCCAGGAAGCAGTGACAGATTTTAATCTGAAAATGAAATAAACCCTTTTCTTTGTTAAGTTGCTTTCTATTGTTAAAGTATATAATCACAGCACTAGAAAGAAAGCTAGATTCGTAGGGCTTTGCATGAAATGGGCTATGAAAACTTTCAAGCCTTTTGGATCTAGAAATGAATTAAAAACCACTGAATTCTATTTTTCTATAAGAATTAAACTCAAGTATGTGTTCAGCAAATGCCATGTCGCTTTCACATTCTGTTCATACTTTGCCTGTCTTGCTTTCTTTTTCTGCTTCTTTGAGATACTCATTCTAAAAAGATCTTTTATGGCTTAAATACAACTTCGAATTCATTGCAAGATTGATAATTTCAATTTCTAGGGCTGATGAGGGTAGATCAAGTTTTAAAATAGAAACTGAAGCTACTCATTTCTTTTTATGGATAATTAATTCACTCTTACAAAATAGGATTTATGCAAAGTGAAGAATCTAATTCAGGGTGTAGACTCATTTTTTTTTTCCAATGGACCAAGATAAAATTTTCCTCTCTTTTTTACTTATGGTTTTGAAAATAGTTCAATAAAGATTTAAACCCTGTAGTATATCAGGACAAAGGATAACTGCAGGACACAAGTTTCAGTGGTCCACAAGTATCTGTAGCATTTATTCTCTTTCTGAAGCTGTTCCATTGAGACATTATCAACTGTATTATTAAGACCTCAAGGAATTATCTGGCTCTACATTTCTCCTGGACAGTTGAGAAAGCCAAGCTTTTAAAACATAATTCTCACAAAAGATTTGCTAGGATATTAAAATGAGAGTGCGTCAAATTTAGAAGGGACTTTATGTTCCTGTTCTGCATGTTTTCTATAAGTGTCACTTACAGTGTGATCAAGTTATAGTTATCTGGTAAGAGAGCATGATGTTGAACTAAATGTGCTGAACCTATACTATTCAATTTCTGGATACCATCTAAGTCAAACCTAGACCATGACCCATCACTTCTGAAACTTAGAAAGTTTGAGACCCACAGAAGTTACTCAAGTTTTAGTATTTTTATCTTTAAAATGGGCAAATGATGGTTTTTAAAATGTAATTTCCATGGAGTACATGTTCATGTACTAGAAGACTTTAAAGTTGTATTTTTACACTTCATTAGTAAAATGATTATTTAGTGTATCCTTTAAATTTTACTACAGCTATGTAGATATTTATCTATTTATCCATACACATGAAGTCAGACACAGGGCTATTTTGATTTTTCAAACATTCATTAAACACAGACTGGTAGTGTCATTTCTTCTAGTGTACTTGAAAGTAGACAATTCTTATTGGTTCTTCTGTCGCTTACTAGTCATTCATATCCATGGTGACAAGCTCATAATTAGGCTTTCCTATCATTGTAATATTTTATTTAAAACTATCAATTCAAATTTCCCATATTCTCTACAGATTTTCTAGCTTCCAATCACCTCCATTTTATTTTAATGTGGAGTGTGTGTGCATGCACACACAGGTGCACATGCTAAGCCAAATATTGTGTGTGATCCTCAAACCTTCATCTATTTACCTCATTTGATACAAAGTCTCTCATTGGCCTGTAGCTCACTAATTGGATGAGGCTCAGGCCTCCTCCTGTTTCCACCTCTGTAGCACTTGGATTACAACTGTGGTCGTTACATCTGGCATCTGTGGGTCAAACTCAGACCCTCATGCTTGTGAGGCTGCATTTTACTGACTGACTCATTTCCCCAGGACAGTCTCCCTATGACTATTCTTCAACCTAAGAGATATCTAAAATGTAATGACCCTTCTGCCTTCATAAAACCGTAAAGTCTTTTATTTATTTTTCTTATTGGGGTAATTACATGATATCATTATTTCCATAACACTTTTGAGAATGTACTACATTTTCTTGCTCTGCTCTATTTTATGACAACCCTATGACACCAACCCTTCGTGACTTAAATAAAACCAGCTGATTGTTTTTCTCATACCTACTTCTGAGCAGCTAATGCCACGATAACAATTCTCAATAGGACAGGCTTATTTCTCCATGAAATTTGGTTCAGTCATCTTACCAAAAGCTCTTGACATTTTTTTTTTTTTGGGTAATCATATAACTATTTCTTGGTTTACCTACTCTTCTCTTGTCCATAACATATGTTTTAAATGCTATTTTTTGCCTCAATTTTATAATTATATAGAATATATAATTATATAGAATATAGTTTTTATGAGTACACTCCAGATTACCTTAACTCCCTTTTGTAATGGCAATAAATCACTAGAAAGAAGCCGTCTTGTCTGCCAATATCAAGTATAGATATTTCAATGTCTATAGCTACACATTGCATTCTTTTTCCTTAACTTTCCAATAGAAAGACTAAGAGTACTTAGTGATTAAGCAGCTCTCTCTGTCTCACCTTTGTGCTTTTCTCTGAGAAGCCTTATTACACTTCTTGTGTAATCTTCTAAAGAAGACTGAGTCTACTTTATCTTCCCACTAGAAGTAACAATGGTTATCACTTCTTATTTCGTTTACATTATTCCAGAGTTTTTAAAGCAATTTGGATATGTGAACCACTGAATTCAAACATTTTTAGACTACTACTGTTATCCCAATTTTAGGGATAAATGTTGAAGTTTATGGCAGTTTATTGCTTTGTCCAAGTTCACATGGCCGTCAGTTGTGGATCAAGGATTTGATACCTGGTACTTTGCCTCCAGACATTCATTACTCCTCATTACTTTAATTCCATTGAGAGGTCCACAACCTTTGAAATAAAAAATTTCAATTCTGGAAAGCAAACTGGGCTACTCAGACGGAGCCACTGACAATGGGTTTTAGTCAATGAGGACCCTGAACTAGGGAGAATAACTCCAGAGCTGAGACATTCCTCTGGACACCTGTTGGGAGAAGATAATGAGGCAAGAGCTGAGCTGGTCTCTGAAATTCTTCAAGGACTCACCAAGTATAATGAAACTGACTTAGCACCCCATCAAAATTGTACTAATGTCACTTCTTTGCCCCTACCAAACATATTAGAAGTTACCTATCCTTTCTAGAAAAATTCCCTGAGTCCTGCATAAAAGAGATTCTGTGAGTTCCTCTGGTCATCACCATTGTGATGAATGGTTGACCCCTGACTGCTGGTAATTTCTGCAGAATAAGCATTCTTTGCCCTTGTATCCTATTTGAGTCTGTGGTCTTCCTCAAGTGGTTCTTAGACTCCAACACCAGTATTCAATAATTTCCATTCTTTATCATTGATATTTTAGTATCCACCAGTTTTGCCCCATCTGTTTAATCCATTTCATTGGAAAACTTCCTCCACCTCCTTTCCCTCACTTCTCTTTCACTGTTTTTACCCCTAATGAACTTCCTTTATTACTTACTCATGCTTCCTTTTCCTCCTCTATATTTACAGTCTCTATTTTCTTTCATCTCAGTGAATCCACCTAGATTTAGTTCTGGCTTTATTTAAACCAAACTATCTTTATTCAGCACACATACTATTTTTAGGTTAAGCAGCCAAGTGGATATTGTCCAATGTTCATCTCAACCTTTACAAAGTTTTTCAAAGTGTTACCTAAGTTATACAATTAGACAATCATGTTGTTTTCCTACCCACATATTAGTCTTGAGTCCCTTCAACAACAGATAAACTCCCTAGCAGAGGTTTTTCAAAACCAGAGAGCTCTGGATTTGATGACTGCTGAACAGAGAGGGACTTGCATTATGTTGGGGTAGGAATTCTGTTTGTAGATTAACACATCTGGGATGGTGAAACGAGACATACAAATGCTCAAAAATCTCCACTGGGATCTCCGAGAATACTATGTGCCTGAAACCTCAACCCCATTGTACTCAAACACCCTTGTGGCTTGGCTTCTTCCCCTTCTTGGGCCAGTACTGTCGATTGAGCCCTGTTCTACCTGGTATTCTGCCTTGTCCATTTTTTTAAAAAAATGGCAGATAAATGCTAATTGGGTTCTGGTTCATTATCAAACCATCCCCAAATAGAGGATGAAGACTACTTTGACAGTTCTCCATTATAAATAAAATAGGGGGAGATGTGGGAAAACTATTTAAGGT